TTTATAACTCACCCACAGCTTAAAGTCAGCTTCGAAGTTCTGAGCTCTCCCACAGGGCCGAACTGCACTCCTAAAAATTTTAAATATATATAAAAAAATTGCCATGATATTAAAAAAACACGTTGGGTTTAAAACGTTTGGTAAATCATTTAAATTAAGAAGAAAGATGAAAATCTAGATATTTCGACAGGTGGCGCTTTCCTTTTCAGAGATAAAAGGAAGTTTTTGAAAATACTTGTAATAGCTACCTAACAGCATTTAACCAAATTTTCCACAATAATGAAACTGGTTTATTTGTTTGTTTGTTGAATTTCGCGCAAAGCTACTCGAGAGCTATCTGCGCTAGCCGTACCATAATTTAGAAGAGGAAGACCAGAGAGAAGGCAGCTAGTCAACACCATCCATCGCCAAGTCTTGGGCTGCTCTTTCCACCAACGAATTGTGGGTTTGGTTGTCACATTATAATGCTTCCAAGGCGGAAAGGGCGAGTGACGGGATTCGAACCCGCGTCCTGACCACTAATGGAATTGAAAAGTCGTTACTACTTACAGAGTCCAAGAACGAACGTCTTTTAATTAACCGCTTTATATAAACCGCTCGAATATTTTTCTTAAAAGGGGTGGTGGTTCTGTTTAGTGTTAACTTTACGTGATGAATATACTGTACTTCAACACAGCAAGTACAGAAAACTAGGAAGGAAGCTAAAAACTATATTATATAGTGAATCAGATACACGATGTTACCTAAGCCTCCTTATCTTCGAGGCAACGAACTCGGAGTGTAAATGGGTCAAACTATTAGCCAAGTTTACAGTGTTCCAGACCATGCTATATAGAGGATGAATTGAATAGATAGGCCCTCCAGTGGCACAGCGGTATGTCTGCGGACTTGCAACGCTAGAAACCGCGTTTCGATACTCGTGGTGGGCAGAGCAGAGATAGCTCATTGTGTAGCTTTGTGCTTAACTTTAAACAAATCAAATGAATAGATAGAAAAAAAAAAGACGAAAAACACGAAAATAATAAGTCTTCCTGAGAATGAAGTTAACGTAATTAAAATTTCGTGTGTACATTCACTCAGGGATAATAAATGTGAAAAACAAAAACATATCATTTTGAAAGAGTAATACAATGAATTTCATGTGTAAGATAACAAGCAAACGCCCATTCTTGATAATAATCTTTGTAATAACATAATCTACGAATAACGGCCCGGCATGGCCAGGTGGTTAGGGGCGCTCAACTCGCAATCTGCGGGTCGCGGGTTCGAATCCCCGTCACACCAAACATGCTCGCCCTTTCAGCCGTGGGGGCGTTATAATGTGACGGTCAGTCCCACTATTCGCTGGTAAAATAGTAGCCCAAGAGTTGGCGGTGGGTGGTGATAACTAGTTGCCTTCCTTCTAGTCTTACACTGCTAAATTAGGGACGGCTAGCGCAGATAGCCCTCGTGTAGCTTTGCGCGAAATTCAAAACAAACAAACAAATATCTACGAATAACCATTATAAGAAGTAACTAAAAGAAAAAAATTGTTTATATAAAGATTTTTCTGTCTCTAATGTTACGTTCCGAATAGCTATTGTTAGGTTATCAACCGATAGAAACTTCCCTTGCTAAAAGCGTTGCGCGAGAACATAGCTTTCTTATCACAGCCTTACGTTTTATAGCAGAAGAATAAGATTGATGGGCATAGAGGAATGGTTACTCTCAGTCCACAACCTCAAATCTTAACACATTGTTTACGACCTCGGAGAGTTCGTTCCTCTCTCTTATGAGCTTATGTGAGTCTTTTGTAGCAGATAGATAGAGAGCGTTCAGGTTTATAAGTGCGACATAAAACAGGAACAACGGAGAGAGAGAGAGAGAGGAGGAAGAAAATGTCTTTCACTGGATCTTCTGCAGATTCTTTGACGCTGGAAGGTTTAACAACGTTTGAAAATGTTGCGGATCTCCCACTTCCTTCGACCTATTAGCTTTATTCATTTTATTGCACGAGTCAGCGCCGGGCATAAACACGTCACGTTATCTCGGATTTTCGCGAGACAGTATGATTTCAGAAGAATCGAACGAGAATTATTTTCGTATGTGATATTTTCTGGTTTATTACAAGTAAGCTATTTTTATTGATAACGCGGAAACTGTGTAGGTGAGAGGAGAGACATTCTTGTCTTTACTTCAGTTGAGAAATGAATAGTGACTCAATAAGCATGACGTTATATCCCTTGTGAGCGATCGAGTTTTTTTTTCTTTTGCTTGTGTTTATTCCTTAGAACAAAATCTACTCCAAGTTTGTTTTTAGATAAAATTCTACACATTTGGCTCATCTTGGAGTAGAATTCTACGCATTCCTAGATGGTGAAAGCCATCACCGAATTTTTCTGATTCTATGTATATTCAAAACTATCTCCTGGTGGATCAGCAATAAATCTACAGATTTAAAACTCTAAATTCCGGAGTTCGACTACCCGCAATGGACAAAGCCTAATGTGGCTTTGCGCTAAAACAAAAAACAAGCATATTTATATGTATATTTTTGTTGTTGTCTGTTTGTTTTTAATTATGCACAAAGCTACACAAGGGCTATCTGTGCTCTGCCCACCACGGGTATCGAAACCAGGCTTCTAGCGTTGTAAGTTTGCAGACACGTCGCTGCGCCACTGGGGGCAACATTTTGTGAGGTTCATGGTTAGAGTTACATTTGTTTGCTTAAGCAAAGATATTACAATTAGACACTCGCTGCGGACTTACAGCAATAGGATCCACGGTTCGATTCCCGTGTTGGACAGAGAGAAAATAATCCAAACAAACAAATATTATATTTAGTTTCTTATCAAATGTGGCAAGGTGGTTAGGGACTTGACTCACAATCTGCGGGTCGCGGGTTCGAATCCCCGTCACACCAAGCATACTCGCCCTTTC